TTCTCAGGAAACTGAATGATCTTTTGAGTCTTTTTTGAAAGAGAAAGTCCAGAATATATAACACTTAGGTAAATGTTTGGTCAGGAACATCCCTAATGATAACCGTTTAAGCACAGTTAAATCATCCAGCCGTCCAGCGGAGAAGATTGAGTGCAAGCCAACAGGACAGTGCCATTTTGCTTCTCACACCACACAGGAAACACACACATCTATTTTTGGCCCAAACAGTCCTACTTGCCAGATTTGACCTGGACCATGAAAGTCAAATGGTCAGAGTACGACTATCAGGGAGCAATCCAAGTACTAGGAGCTCCGGGAGGTTTGCTGCACAAAGAAAAGAGAACTGTCAGAAATTTTGATTGCACCTGGTACATATCGGAAATTCTCATTGTCGTCTCCTATGCAGCAGTCTCACACCATGTGTGCACCTTGGCCTTTAAGCAACACAAAAGGGACACATCCCAAATAATTAAACCTACCTCTGTGGAAGAGAGAGCAGCGGGCATCAGAGCTGTGTTAACTGTTGATCGGCTGGTAAGACAGCTGATTCACATGAAAACAAGTCTTGCAAGCTGCCAGGCAGCATAAAGTGGGTTTGCTTGCCGTCTGAAGACACTGAATTCTGCTGAGTTTAGGTTGTTCAAAGTGAACATACATTTACTGGTTCGGGGGTTGTGCTTAATTATCTGTAATTCCTCACTAAGAACAAAGCCTTATGTTTGTATTTCAGTCAGACATTCCTGTAAACTGCAAGAAGCTTGTGGTCTTCAGGGGGACTGACTGCTGCTATTTATCGCAGGAATCGATCACTGTGAAAGCCAGACAGTTTGGGGAATACTGAAATGAGAGCAAGGTACAAAAAGCAACTTCAGCCTGACTAGTAATCCTCCGACTCGTGTTCCTGCCTGTAGAAGGATAGAAATCGGCCTACAAAGCAGGCATCTGCTGAACCCTTTGATGATGTTAACTTAACAAAACCACAAAGGGGAAATGGAATGCTGTGAAAATGACCGATGCATGCAAACGATCACTCCTGGTTTTGGATGTTGCATCAGTTGTATTTGAATAATTTATTTTTTGTTGCCTGCAAGTGGACAAAAAATGAAGCTATATGACACTAAGATCAGATTTAAACAAAACAACAAAAAAAACGAACACTTTGAAGTAAATACTGAATCTTTTCAGGATTGTGTTTCGGGAATATTTGCATAGCAACTTGTAATGATGATTTGGTGCACTGCTGTAATTTGTCAGTTGGGTATTCGTGTTTTCTGATCATAGCTAATGTTGGACTTTTGAGTAAAAAGTCCTCAATCATCTCCAGTGTATTTCCTTTAGTTTCTCTTCTAAAAGGAAATGAAGAGCCTCTTAGGACCCGATTCTTCTTTTGATACTGACATTTTTACACATTTGTCCAATCTAAATGTTGAAAGATTTACACTGTTTCTGAAAATGGTTTGTACAGTAATCCTCTGTAATGGTATACTTCAGTACTCAGTACATATTAGGCCTTTCATAAGGCTGGCTAGTTTTTATTGATTTTAATATGCAAATGAAAGACAGCTAGTAGAATCGTATATTGATCATGGTGTGTAAAACAATGAAATAAGCCTTAAATATGCTGTGAAATGGATACATCATACATGTAGTGGTTGCAAGAAGCAGCACAATGGACGTTTCATTGGTTATAGTGGAATAAAGGACATGTGGAATTGTATTTCTGATCTTTTCTTTGTCTCGCCACCATGTTAGGGTGATGAAATACCAATATTGTAGTAATACAACCATATTTCTGAGTACTTTGGAAACTGAACGTGACAGAATGTGGTTTTCAGAAGTATTTTGATCCATGCCATGACTTCCATTCCACAATCTGCAGTGAACATAACAGCCATTCAGTAGTGGTTTTCTCTTTTCTACAGAAAAGCCTGGTTTCAGCCTGAAGTCCACTATCATATCCACTGTTTTGGCAGCATTTTTTTTTTTTTACTTTTTATTTATTTTCAAACTGTTTTATACAAGCATGTACAGTCGTCCATCCTTGCCCCGTTTCACTTTAAACAGCATTATTAGCTTTTTTACCCCTTACGATCATCCATTATAATCATTAGTCTTGGTAGTTAAATGGTATGTGGTCATTCCGGTGTTCTGGAAACTACCAATGAACATAATAACAAAACAGAGCGAACATCACCAAACTACACTTCCCCAAAATAAACCATAACCTTATGATGTAAAAATAATATTGAAATAACTACACACATAAACAGTGAAACAAAAAACAATTACTATATAAATAATGACTGAGATGGGTGCCGGTTCAGGGATGAGCGGTCCTTTACTGCATGTCTTCCCTTTTCTCTCCCTCTGCTTTCCTGTCACTCTTTACTGCTCTGTCCAATAAAGCTGAAAAAGGCCAAAAACAAAATATAAAAAAATGACTAAGATAAATAAAGGGGAAATAGTAATAAATCTATATTTTTAAAAGAATACATAGAGGTGCCATAAATCTTACTATTGGTTCCCATGTTGTTTTTTCCATAATGTAGACCTTTTTAATTCTATCTCATCATTGCGTGATACTGAGAGAATGTGATGCAGATGTAATACATTTCTTCACAATCAGAAGCAGAACTCTCAGTACATATTTACAGTCTTTGTCCACTACATCCCTGGGGACTATTCCCAAAATGTATACGGATGGGTCCAAGTATAAATCAGTCCCTAGAATACTTTTTATATCTATTTGCACATATTTCCAAAACTCAAAAATTCCAGGCCAATTGACTATGTGCACGTTAGCATATGCTACTTCCGGTGCAGAAACTCCTGTGGGGAGCTTTGTTTCCGGTGTCCTATTCGCGCCCTGTTTACGGTCCAAAACAAGTTAAGCAAATGAATGAATCAAGCGGCGATTTACATTTCTATAGATGTCTCGGGCATTTACCCAATATATCTGTAAATGATGTTCATCGACTTGTCGATATTTTTCCCCGCGCCTCAGAGCAAAAGAGAAAAGGATTCAAATGTTATATTTCTCAGCTGTCCCTCGTTTATCGCGGGTGTTATGTTCTAAAAATAACCAGCGATAGGTGAAATCAAGTAGCCAATTTTATTTTTTGACGGTGCAAAACGTTTCGTGGACATACAGCACTGCACTTCAGAGTCACACTGCCAGCGATCGATGCAGCGATTCTGTACAGGAGAGACGGAGGAGATCGTCTGCAGCGATCAGGACACAATGTGACGTAAAAAAATAAGCATGCAAACTTGCACTAAATCTGCGAAACAGCGAGGTGAAAGGTGAACCGCGTTATAGCGAGGGACCGCTGTAAGTTTGAAGGTAAGTCACAACATACCCTTCATAAATACTAATGTATAGAAACCGTTACCAGCAATCGTTCATTTTTTGTGTGGCTTTTTTCACGGTTTGTTAACATGCTGTGTAGGTGTGCACTTGACTAGCTGATATCAACATAAAGGGGGAAACATCTGGTTTGACTTCTTCACCTGTAGTTTGAATGCTGAACATTTGCCTGTTTAAATCATGAGAATTTTATAGTGAATGTGGACGATGTGTCTTCTGCTGCAGTTCTGCTTGTGTTGAGTGATGTAAACAACTGATCGATCTAAACTCTTTAAACGTCAAAATTGATCATTAGATTTTTATGACACAACAGTGGTGAGTGTTCCCACCTTCTGCTCTTTGTAACTTAACGCGATCGTTCCGTTTTCGAGTTTTGGACATGATTTTGGAGGATATCTTTGCAGTAGCGATTGACCGCAAAGTAAAGCTACCGGAAATGTACAACCCCACATCCGGTCTCAAACCAGGAAGTTAGCATTTTCTCGTGCACAGGGTCAATCCCAAAATATGTGAATAAAGTCACCTAACTCTCTACAATTCCTCCAACAACACTGAGATGTCTTATCAAATTTTGGTGTGATGAATGGAGTGTTAAAACTCCGTGAATAGCTGCAAACAGATCCAAAGTTTTAGCACCACACTCACAGCTTTGAGGTATGTGAGGTATTTGTGTAGATATGTGTGGATGAGTGAGTGTATGACCTGTGTG